TTTTTTAATCGTTGTCATTTGGAAATGAGATCGCACATAAGTATGAATCAAGATCGCAATTTTCTAACGATTAATCGTGCAGCCCTAACATGCAGAGAAAAGCAATGAGCAAGCACTTTGGCGACAGTGGGAAGGAAAAACTCCCTTTCAACAGGAAGAAACCTCTGGCAGAACCAGTTTCAGGGAGGGGCGGGGCCATGACACATAGTGAGTCAGAAAGGTGACTGAAGAAAAAATACTCGATGCATCATGGGAGTCCCCCAGCAGTCTACACCTATTGCAGCATAACTAAGGGAGGATTCAGGGTCAACTGATCCAGCCCAACTATATGCTTACATATGCTGTATGTGAGGAGCAGGAGTTTGAATTCAATTCTGGATTTAACAGGGAGCCAATATAGGAGAAATCTGCTCTCTCTTTCTAGTCCCTGTCAGGACTCTTGCTGCAGCATTTTGGATTAATTAAAGGCTTTTCAGGGAGTTTTTGGACAATCCCGATAATAATGAATTACAATAGTCCAACCTAGAAGTAATAAATGCATGAAGTAGTTTTTCAGTGTCACAGTGAGACAGGATATTTCTTATTTTAGAGATATTACGCAAAGATTGGAAGTCAGTCCTAGATATTTGTTTAATATGTGCGTTGAAGGACATATCCTGGTTAAAAATGACTCCAAGGTTCCTCACAGTGTTACTGGAGGCCAAGGTGATGCCATCCAGAGTAAGAGTCTGGTTAGATACCATATTTCTAAGATCTTCAGGGCGAGTACAATAACCTCAGTTTGATCTGAATTTAGAAGCAGAAAATTAGAGGCCATCCAGGTCTTTATGTCTTTAAGACATTCCTGGAGTTTAACTAATTGGTGTGTGTTATCTGGCTTCATGGATAAATAAAGTTGGGTGTCCTCTGCATAGCAGTGAAAATGTATGCTATGATACTGCTGATGATACTGCCTAAGGGAAGCATTTAAAATGTAAACAGAATTGGTCCTAGTATATAGGGCTGCTCGATTATGGCAAAAATGATAATCACGATTATTTTCACTGAAATTGAGATCTCGATTATTTGACGATATTTATTTAACCCTTTAAGACCTACTATAGAACCAA